ACGAACCATGCCCGCCCTTTCTGAGTGCAAAGCACCCATGTGAACGGCCAAAACGATGCGCGGCAGTCGCAGCACCCACATAGGTGCAGCTTGGACTGCGGCAACCGGCCGATGTGGTTTTGAAGTTTGGGCTTTGCATTATCGGACTGCGAGACTTACTTCATGACACCGTGACCCAGAAGACCTGATGTGTGCTGGATTCAACGTCCGAAGAAGCGAAGAAGTCCCGCTTGGGTGAACAATGTTCTGTGCAACCCGGCGGCCCTGCGGCACTTTTGCACTTGCGGTGCGTGCCAGGGCTGTTGGAAGAAAAGGCATTAACAACAGGAGAGCCAAGTGGACGGTCCGATCTTGACAGAGGTGCTGAGGTTCAAAATGCATCGGTAGACTTCCACATGGGTGGTTGTCAAAATCATGGCCTGTTTTGGGGTACCCTAAATATTAGGTGCCGTATTATAATAGGGCCAATAGGGACCCAAAAGGGACCGTAATTTTGACAACCATCCACATGGTTTCGTGATCCTAGGCTGTCGCCCGACTGAACCACGGCCCTGCGAAGCTCCTGGGCAAGTCATCAGCATCGCTTTCTAGATCTAATGTACAGGCGTGTGGTGCTGATTTGTTCGTTAACTTGTTCCAACTCGACTACTTTATTAAGCTTAAGGCATGGGGAAAAAAGCAACACTACAAAAGATGCAGCTCGAACATGGCTCCCTACTGCGACCCAGCGGCCACCCTTGCTTTTGGGGCGATGCTGGCTTCTTGGGTTCTTCATCCGGATCAGGCTGCCTGAGTTAAATCCTGAACCCTTCTTCCTAAAATGTGACCCCAAGCTCTAATAAACCCCAAACCCCCAAACCCCAAACCTCTAAACCCCTAAACCCCCAAACCCCGAAACCCCTAAAACCCTAAAACCCTAAACCCACACACCCCTAAACCCCAAGCCCTGAATCCTAATCCCCTAAAGATCCCTAATAGAACCTTTGAAGGAACCCTTAAAGAAATCCGCCTTCGGGAAGCAACCTCCTTCTCGAGCCGCCGCCTCCCTGGAAGCGTAGAGAGCTCCTGACATCGAACTCGGAGTTTAGGGCTTCGGGTTCTAGGGTTTTGGGGCTTCAGGGTTTTAGGGTTTTAGGGCTTTAGGGTTTTAGGGCTTTAGGGCTTTAGGGCTTTAGGGTTTTAGGGTTTTGGGTTTAGGGTTTAAGGTGAAAGGGTTTCGTCTTAGGCTCCCGGATTTGCTAAGTTCGCTGGCCCACGCAGAACGCTTGGCCTGTCTATTTATGGCTAAGCATAAATACATATATACATACATACATACATACATACATTGCATGCATGCATATATGCATATGTGCATGCACACGTATGTGCGCACATACGTTCATACATACTTGCATGCAGACTTGCATACTTACACGAAGATATACATATACTCAGATGCATGGACACAAGCCTACAGTCTATACATTATGTAGCCTACACCCAAGAAGCCTTTATACGCTTGGGTGACGGCTGCTGCGAGCTACATGCTGCTCTTGGGGCAAACGCAGTTATCATGAACTCAGACCACATGCGCTGTGACGCGCTTCGCTTCCGACTACGGGGCTAAAATGCCACAATGCAGGGGCAGCAGCTCCTTCATCAAGTTCTCGACAAGAACATTGTTGCGGTTGTGCAAGATCCGGTTCGGCGGCGCATTGATACTGACCCTAGTTGGCATGTTGTTGGAGAAGTAGGATTGTCGCGTTTCCAGCGACTCACCAGTATCCGTACGAGCTCGTCGGCACATTTCGCCTTCATCAGGCAGTAGGGGCTCGCCTCCATCGTCCAAGCAGTCGTCAATTGGGAAAGCCGGCGGCAACTCCTGATCTCCATCAACCTCCCTTGGCTTTTGAGGCGGGAGCATAGAGTTGAGGCTCGACTCCCATAGCACCATGGCCATTGCAGCACAACGCACGGAAACTCTGTCTACTACCCGTCTTACTCCACTTCTCTGATTTGATCCAGCGACGTTTTGGTTGCCGAGCATCATGACACTGCAACAAGAGATGCATGTCAAGGAAGAACTACAAAGCGGCTAAAACGGCTCATGTTGCCATTGCTGCTGCTCCCGCTCGTACTACCTAATCCTCTTTCTCCTGCTGCTACTGCTCCTGTCGTTGTTTCTCTACCCCTCTCACGCCGCACTACTGTCATCAACACGACGAAGAGGATGAGGACAAAAAACGACGACAGCCTTTCCAACCAAGAACCAGAAAGGGACCTGCAACCACGAGGACGAGGACAGCCACGACTCACGACGGCGACTGCCACTGTTACTGTTACTGCTTTAAAACCGAGGAAGACGACGACGACAACCACAACATCAACTACTACTCCTCCTGTTGCTGGTGCTACTCCTGCTCCTGCTCCTGCCTGCTCCTGCGCTTGCTCCTATACATACATACTCTTATATGTTTATATCTGTACATATATATATATATATATACATATACATGTACATTGGCCTATGTATAAAACATGCATACATAAACAGACGTTAATAGGGGGATAGGACCAGCTTTTGAACTCTACACACCATAGACGGCTTTGACTGAGCATACTATAAAACAGAGCCGCATTGCAAGAGCCCTTCCCATCTGGGGACTCGCTGAAAGGCGCACCGCATGAGCGATGTAGGGCAGTGGCTTAGGGTTTAGCGATTTAGGGATTTAGGATTTAGGGTTCAGGGATTTAGGGTTTAGGCTGTAGGATCTAGGGTTTCGTTGCAAGTCGGACCGTGAAAGGAGCATGCCAGGGCCTTCATTTCAAGAGCCTCCCTTCAAGAGTCGTTCGTCCCTTGGCTGATCCGACTCCATGACTCAGCTCAGTCCTCATCTTCAGACGAATGAAGGCTTAGGGTTTCGGGTTGAGGGTTTAGGGAACCCGACTGCAACATCTTCACAGGATGCGGACCAAAGCCTTTACCGACAAGAACCACAACTGATCCCTTCACGCTGAGGCCCTGCACTCTATTTTCTGCCATCGGACTCGAGCAGCGTCTTAACACCACTTACATGGGCAGTCCTTCTGATACACACCATACCCCCAAACGGTGTCTGGGACGAAAATTTCGTTTCGCAGGGTGTAGGACAGGAGTTTCCGTCTCAAACATCCCACAATGCCATACAAAAGGGGCCTTAATGATCAGAATAGGGTTTTGGGCCCCATTATGCTAGAATCATAATAGCGAACCCCTAACATAGTATAGGTAGTTATCTTGGCCCCTATAGTCATAGCAGAAAACCCCCAGCGGGGCCTCACACAAGTTTCAAAACAATTGGAGCACTGGTGCCGCGATGATCTGGGACCAGTACCCTTCCCCTCCAGACAGAGGTAGGGTATAGGGTTTAGGGTTTACCTGTAACCGAAAAGGCCTACCATTTTAAGGAACTATATAGAGAAACCATAATAAGGCACCCTAAAAAGGTAGGTCTTTCCGGCTACAGGTAGGGTTTAGGGTTCAGGTTTTGTGTTTTGGTGGACTGTGCTCTCCTTCACTGCTCTCGCACGGGCCTGCAGGACAACCACTCAGGTGAACCCTAAACCCGAAACCCTTAACCCTCACTCCGGCAATCATCACATCCACCGGGTTTCTCACGAGCACCAACAGGACATCCAGCACTTGAAGGGTCACACATACCCTGCAGAACGTCACCTTTAGGTATTTAGGGGTTTATGTAAGGTCGCCCAGTTCCATTCAGGTAGCAATGGACAATACACCAAACCAAGGAACACTACTCAAGCCCAATTGCCAAAACTCTAGACCCTGCAAGCCCGAACCACTAAACCTCACAAACCCTCAACCCTCACCAATTCATGCTCGTATAGCCTTTCAAGACCCAAACAATGGACTACTGCTGCGGACTACGCCCGTAAAGTCTCTCGAGTCTCTCGATTAAGGTTCTTTGAGTGGCTTGCAACGCTAGCAGACTTAGTAGATTTACTGCGATGAAAACCTTGAACTCCAACTACCCTGAACCCTAAACTCGAAACCCTCTTTAATCTCGTAGACACATCGACGGTCGGGTCAGGGATCTTGGCTGCTCCCAGTCACTCGTACCTACCTGCATGCGGTCTGTTGTCAGACAGGTAGAAGGACCTGACAGCCGGCACCTCGCGCATCATAAAAACACTGCAGCGTAAGACAATATAGGGGCCTCAATGATTAGAACAGGGTTTTGGGATATATATATATATATATATATATATATGTATATGTATATATATATATATCATCGAGCAAGTTTGATAAGGATCCCGAAGGAATTGTGCTGGCAGTTCTTGAGGCGTCTATATTCTGCTGCAAGAAAACTGGGGCTTAATACCGCCATGGTTCGTCCTGTGCATCCGCAACGAACCATGCACGCTAATGTAGGAACCTGATTAAGAAACCCTGGGCCTACAGCCCCAAAATAGCAGGATTCTTAAAGGGAGCCCAATAAAGGCCCAAGGTTTCTTCATCAGGCTCCTACATTACTTCTCAGTGCACAGCACCCATGTGATCGGCCAAAAATGACGATCGGCAGTCGCAGCACCCTCTTGGGTACAGACAACCGGCCGATGTCGTTTTGAAGTTTGGGCTTTGCATTATCGAACTGCGGGACTTACTTCATGACACGGTGACCCAGAAGATCGGAGGCCTCAAAAGGTGGGATGAAGGTAGGTAGGATTAAGGATCTCTTATATAAGGACTCTTATTTGGGAATATCCCACCTACCTTCATCCCACCTGTTGAGGCCTCCGAGAAGACCTGATGTGTGCTAGATTCAACGAAGAAGCGAAGAAGTCTCGCTTGGGTGAACAATGCTCTGCGCAGCCTGACGCGTTTGCAGTGCGTGCCAGGGCTGTTGGAAAACAAGGTATATATTCACAACAGGAGAGCCAAGTGGACGGTCCGATCTTGACAGAGGCGCTGAGGTCCAAAATGCATCGGTAGACTTCCACATGGTTTCGTGATCCTAGGCTGTCGCCCGACTGAACCACGGCCCTGCGAAGCTCCTGGGCAAGTCATCAGCATCGCTTTCTAGATCTAATGTACAGGCGTGTGGTGCTGAGTTGTTCGTTAACTTGTTCCAACTCGACTACTTTATTAAGCTTAAGGCATGAGGAAAAAAACAACACTACAAAAGATGCAACCCGAACATGGCTCCCTACTGCGACCCAGCGGCCACCCTTGCTTTTGGGGCGATGCTGGCTTCTTGGGTTCTTCATCCGGATCAGGCTGCCTGAGTTAAATCCTGAACCCTTCTTCCTAAAATGTGACCCCAAGCTCTAATAAACCCCAAACCCCCAAACCCCAAACCTCTAAACCCCTAAACCCCCAAACCCCGAAACCCCTAAAACCCTAAAACCCTAAACCCACACACCCCTAAACCCCAAGCCCTGAATCCTAATCCCCTAAAGATCCCTAATAGAACCTTTGAAGGAACCCTTAAAGAAATCCGCCTTCGGGAAGCAACCTCCTTCTCGAGCCGCCGCCTCCCTGGAAGCGTAGAGAGCTCCTGACATCGAACTCGGAGTTTAGGGCTTCGGGTTCTAGGGTTTTGGGGCTTCAGGGTTTTAGGGTTTTAGGGTTTTAGGGCTTTAGGGCTTTAGGGCTTTAGGGCTTTAGGGTTTTAGGGTTTTGGGTTTAGGGTTTAAGGTGAAAGGGTTTCGTCTTAGGCTCCCGGATTTGCTAAGTTCGCTGGCCCACGCAGAACGCTTGGCCTGTCTATTTATGGCTAAGCATAAATACATATATACATACATACATACATACATACATTGCATGCATGCATATATGCATATGTGCATGCACACGTATGTGCGCACATACGTTCATACATACTTGCATGCAGACTTGCATACGTACACGAAGATATACATATACTCAGATGCATGGACACAAGCCTACAGTCTATACATTATGTATGCCTACACCCAAGAAGCCTTTATACGCTTGGGTGAGGGCTACTGCGAGCTACATGCTGCTCTTGGGGCAAACACAAGTCTCATGAACTCAGACCACATGCGCTGTGACGTGCTTCGCTTCCGACTACGAGGCTAAAATGCCACAATGCAGGGGTAGCAGCTCCTTCATCATGTTTTCGACAAGAACATTGTTGCGGTTGTGCAAGATCCGGTTCGGCGGCGCATTGATACTGACCCTAGTTGGCATGTTGTTGGAGAAGTAGGATTGTCGCGTTTCCAGGGATTCACCAGTATCCATACGAGCTCGTGGGCACATTTCGCCTTCATCAGGCAGTAGGGGCTCGCCTCCATCCCTCAAGCGGTCGTCAATTGGGAAAGCCGGCGGCAACTCCTGATCTCCATCAACCTCCCTTGGCTTTTGAGGTGGGAGCATAGAGTTGAGGCTCGACTCCCATGGCACCATGGCCATTGCAGCACAACGCACGGAAACTCTGTCTACTACCCGTCTTACTCCACTTCTCTGATTTGATCCAGCGACGTTTTGGTTTCCGAGCATCATGACACTGCAACAAGAGATGCATGTCAAGAAAGAACTACAGAGCGCATGTTGCCATTGCTGCTCACGCTCGTACTACCTAATCCTCCTACCTCCTGCTACTGCTCCTGTCCTGGTCTCTCTGCCCCTCTCACGCCGCACTACTATCATCAACACAACAAAGTGAATGAGGACGAGGACAGCCACGACGGCGACTGCCACAGCTACTGCTGTTGCCACTAAAGCGCAATCGAGAAAGACTACGACGACAACCACAACATCAACTACTACTACTCCTCCTTCACCGCCTCCTCCTCCTGCTATTGCTGGTGCTACTCCTGCTCTTGCTCCTGCTCCTGTCTGCTCCTGCTCTTGCTCCTATACACATACATACATACAAGCATATATTTAACTATATATATGTATATATATATACACTTTGTATATGTATATAACATGCATACATATACTTATGTTGATACGGGGACAGGACCAGCTTCTGCGCTCTACACACCTAATTCCAAACATAGATGGCTTTGAATAAAGCAAAGCCGCATTGCAAGAACCCTTCGCACCTGGGGACTCGCTGAAAGGCGCAACGCCTGAGCGATGTACTGCAATGTTTCAGCGTTTAGCGATCTAGGGATCAAGGATTTAGGGTTCAGGGCTTAGGCGATTAGGATCTAGGATTTCGTTGCAAGTCGACTGTGAAAGTAGCATGGTAAGGGCCTTCATTTCTAGAGCCTCATTTCAAGAGCTGTTCGTCCCTGGCTCACCCAACTCCATGACCCATCTTCACCATCTTCGACGTCTTGCGATGTGAGCCACTTGACACCATCAACACACTCACAGCTCGTGACATCACAGAAGGCTCTCTCCCACTTCGAGGTTCATGGGTAGCCATAAGTTGGGGTTTTAGTAGCATAACAAAAATCAAGACCCATATTAGGGGAATCACTACCCCACTTATAACTACCGATGAATCCTGCAAGTACTTGCTGATGTCGTAGGCCACATCCATAGTGCATGATTCGGTTGATGATATAAATCCTGCATTACCCATAATGAGGAGGAATATAACATAATTTCCACAGGTTAGGGTCCTTGAGGTACTGCAGGATTTACATCATCAACCCTTAACCCTTAACCCTATAGATCCCTTAAAGGGACCCTTATAGATCCCTTTAAAGGAACCCCAGGATTTATATCATCAACCGCCGCTTTTGCAGCAGCGGCACGTGGAGGCGATCCAGGTACAGTGAAGAGCCCGCGTGGCGTCCGAGGCGCCGCGCCTGACACAATCGGGCTTCGGTGTTTTTTGGTTTAGGCGTATATTGGTTTAGGGTTCAGTTTAGGGTTTAGGGGGTTTAGGGTTCAGGGTTTAGGGTTCAGGGTTTAGGGTTTAAGGTTTAGGGTTTAAGGTTTAGGGTTTAGGGTTTAGGTGTATATTTTAGAAGGGGCCCCCACCCTGTCATAGTGGTATAATAGGAATATACTAGGGCCCTAATATAATCCTTTTAGTCACTATTACAGGGTGGGGGCAGCTTCTAAGGTTTAGGTGTTTATTGGTTTAGGGTTTAGGGTTTAGGGTTTTAGAGTTTAGGGTAGTAGAGTTTCAAGCAGGAACCCTAAGGAATAGTATGGGTGACTACTCAGGCTTCTATATATATTACCACGAAAGCAAGGCAGCGCGGGACCAACGTCAGCGCTGGCTTTCGCTCAAACATAATATAGGGGCCTAAATAATTACCAATACTGTTTTGGGCGTTCCCGATTATAGTTAGTGCATTCTGGGCCCCAAAACCCTATCCAAATTATCAAGGCCCCTATATCGCTTCATCCAGGGCATCCTTGATTCTTGAAGACCAACCTGCAATATCTTTCGAGTTGGCACACAGCACAGCTAGGGCTTAGGCTTGAGGGTACAACTGATTTCGGCTTCAATCTCATCTTTGGTACAATGCTGTTACACGCAGCCAATGCCACGAAAGCCGCGCACAGTCACAGCTCAATGTGTCACGTGCTTACAGCCGTCGAGCTTTCCTCTTCCCAATGTAGGCTCGTCTTCTACTTGTCGATTTTGTGACGGGTTGAGGTTTAGGGGTTTAGGTTCGCCCAGATCCAGCTGTTGTACAAACAACACACTCCCTGGCAAGTGGCACACTACACCAATCCAGATGTCTACGAACTGCAAGGTTCAGCGTCTGCATTCAGTGGTTTAGGGTTTAAGGCCAGGCCGTGCTTGCTTCCACTATGTCAGCGTCACTTGGAACCATCTGCCCTCGAACAGCCCAATGTGTCACATGCTTTACAGCCTTAAACCCTAAACCCTGAACCCTCAACCCTAAACCCTAAACCCTGAACCTTAAACCCTAAACCCTAAACCCTGAACCTTCTCAGCCTAGAAGCTCGAGTAGCCCCGAATCGTCACAACCGTAGAGGGCTGAGTCCCCTGGCCCCAAAAAGGCTCCACCTTCCCAGTTATGGTAGGATTACTTGGAGGATCATGGGACTTAGTAAGTAGGGTTATAAGTACATTAACTAGGGTTATAAGTAGATATAGCTGTAGTTACCTTATTTATAACCCGGATTACTAAGTCCCCTGATCCCTTAAGTACGCAAGCCACAAAAGGATAAGGTCCATGCACGGGTTCTCTTGCAGCAGCGGCACGAGGTGGCGTCGGAGGCAGTCCTATGTTCCCGAAAAGTTTCCAGGAATCAGAAGGCTTCTTTGAAAGGGATCCATAAAATCATACCCTAAGGGTTCCATAATGCTTTGCAGAAGCTTCTTAAGATTTTTTTGACCTTCTTACATTGCAATGTTCCGTAAGCTACTGACTTATCCTAAGAACATGCAACACCTTCCTTAGCTCACAAATGCCGGGAGACCGGACCGATGCGAAGAGAAGGCGGGGATACTTGGAGGGCCGAGGGACTTAGTTAGTAGTTGTTTTATAGACTTATGGGTATCATAATCTCAACTAGAACCCTTTCAGGGGTACCTAAAAGACTACTTATTGTCTACTCACTAGTCCCCGACCCTCCAAGTACTGTTGCACGCTGTACCAGCGGAGGTCATGGGTTTATGATGGACACAATGTTTTATCTGTGAGTGAAAATCATGAGGAAAACGACTTTGCCTGGTGTTTAGCCTGCCTCAAAACTTCTTGGCGAGCGACGAGATCAAACCAGCAGCTTTTCGTGTTGTCCGAAATCTTCGCGCCGAAACCAGGCCGGGTTATTGGAAGCGAGACCAGGGAAACAGGGACCAATGAAGCGTGTTATGTTTAGGGGTTTGGCATTTGGCCTAGAGCGACAAACCCCAAGAACGAAATTAGTCTGCACAGCCAGTCTCTGGCATGTGCCCTGCATACTGTCTAGTCGCCGTCGCTCCGAGCGTGATGGGTTTAGGGTTCAGGGTGTAAGGTTTAGCTTATGTCTCATGGGCAGCCATAAGCACGATTATGCGTTCTGAGAAGCTGCCTGTGCTTCCAATTGCTTATGACCTCAAACACAAACACAATACTACAATCCTGGATGTTCGCTACCCTTTTTCATTTTTTCATGCGAGTACTTCTTGAAACGTACAGAAGTTACCTAAACACACTGATCTTAACCAAGCCGAGTCCTTCTAAACTCTTGAAAATACGAACCCTGAGCCCTAATCCCTGAACCGTAGCAAGGTCTACTTGGAGGATCATGGGACTTAGTAAGTAGGGTTATAAGTACCCTAATTGGGGTTATAAGTAATTATAAGTATAGTTACCCTACTTACTAATTATAACCCTAGTTACTAAGTCCCATGACCCTTCAAGTAGGATCCAGAGGAGGGCGCAGGGCTCGTTCAGGAATCAGGGTTTACGGCTCAGGGTTGAGGTTTTAGGGTTCAGGGTTCACGATTTAAGACTTAGGATTAAGGTTTTAGGGTTCAGGGTTCATGCTTTACGGCTCACGGGTAAGGTTTTAACGATTCAGGGTTCAGGGTTTACGGCTTGGGAGTAAGGTTTTAGTGTTCAGGGTTTAGGGTTTCGAGGTGAAGGATGTCGGATCTAAGGTTGACGGTTTGGATTGGGCCCAGCACCTCAGGATACCCTAGACCCTAAACCCTTGACCCCAACCCCAAACCCTGAATTAACCCTAAACCCGAACAGAATCCCGCCGGTTGTTGGGCTTGGGGGCGGGCTGCAATCACCTTCCGAAAGGTTGCGCCTAAGTTGCTGCAAGGCACGGAAGTCGTTCCCAGCCGCGAATCGGTAGGACGGGCGTCCACGACCTAGGTGTGGTCTTTGTTTCAAGGGTTTCTTTAAAGGTTCCTCTGGAGGGTTCCGTTTGAGGTTGGTTTAGGGTTTAGGGTTTAGGGTTTACGGTTTAGGGTTTAGGGTTTAGGGTTTAGGGTTTAGGGTTTTGGGGTTAGGGTGCAGTGAAGTAATAAACTAAAGGTTAAGGAAACTGCCTTCTGGAACCTAGAAGGAGCCTAGGTGGTCAGGCGCTGTAGAGTGTGCTCATGGTGGCCTTATGCCCCCCATGAACTTCCCAGGATTCTTACACTAGGATACCCAGTAACCTAAGAATAAAAAGGCCTCTCTTTTTGGTATTGGGTAACTTTATAAGGAGCCTAGGACTACAAAAAGGGAATAAAGGTACTACTGGGCATCCTAGAACATTTCCCTGAGAATTTCACACATTCTTGACAACATCTAGGACAACGGCTCTGAAGGCTCCAGATCGGCTCAGGCCATCATCGAGAAATCTCCGCTTAAACCCTAAACCCCAAACCCTAAACCCTGAATCCTAAACCCTAAACCCTAAATCCTAAACCCTGAACCCTAAACCCTAAGCCCTAAACCCTAAATCCTAAACCCTGAATCCTAAAAACTCATTTCGTTTTTTGACCTCCGAAATCATCGGTCTTCTGTGGGGTCGTCTATGCCGAAACAAGCCGCAGGAGCTCGTAGGGTTTTAGCATGAAGGGCTTTGGGTTTCGGGTTTAGGGTTCAGGGCTTAGGATTTAGGGCTTAGGGGTT